TGCGGCTGGCAGCCGAGGATCGGCACTTGAATTTTACATAATATTTCTGGGGCGAGCGAGCTGCCCCCAGGAGAACACGAACGGGCAGTGGAGGAGGGAGGCGGCGAGAAGTGGGGCGCCTGGGTGGGGGAGGTAGAGAGGAGGAGAGGGACACCTGCCATCAGAATCAAAGCTGACCTGCAATTGAAGAGTCAATACCTCGAGATGGCTGCAAAGTGCTCTGACGATGGCTGCGGGACAACTGCCGCCACCGCTCGTAAAAACTTCTGAGGGCAATATGTGGCTCGCAGTGAACAAGCCCCCCTGCAGGAGCTTGAGCTGCTGACGCAAGCGAGAAGCGAAATCCTCGCGCGGCGCTGAAAGTTAGCGGACAACTCGCTGTGAGGCAAATGTCGAGTTCAGACGAGGAGAATGGCGCTGACGTGGGGCATGAGTGGGGAATGAGTGGGGTGGAGCATGGGAAAACGTGAGGAAGGCACGGACACGTAGCTGCAGCCGGCGACAAAATGCGCTGCCAGGAAGCAACTATCGCAGGCCTATTTCTTCAAACGCTGACTATTGCTCGAGATCTCGGAAAGGCGTACCCGAGACACTCGTGCTGAAATAATCATGCCGACAGTCTCACCGACAGACGCTACATTCTGGAGGGCAGGGGGGCAGGATGAATGATTGATCCCCTGCACGAGTCAGCTAAACAATTCGTCCAACAGGTGCGCGCTTTGGTGCAGAGCCAAGAAGAGGGTGTGTCCAGAAGACTGCTCCACAATCCGACAAGACACTTACCGGCGAGATGGCCCTCGCAGCGGTCGGTTTGGTAATGTGCCGGTGTCGATCCCTACGTTGAAAAAGCACACACGCACACACGAAAAACGAACCGACCAAACAAATGACGGGACGAACACGCGCGACCCAAACTGCGGACCGCCGTTCGTCGCGTCGCCCCGCTCGTGTCGGGCACATGGCTTGCGGACAGGCCCGCGGGCGTCACCAGCTCTGCCTAGTGATTACGCCGAGCTGGCAGCCCGCGGTGGAGAGACCTCCCGCTCGTCCACATCCACCTTCCTCCATCCTCGTCGTCCTCCTCTCGCCCTCCCCACGTGCCGATTGCATCGTCTCTGGAAAGGCCAGCACCGGACCACGGGTAGGCCACTGGGGTGAGGGCACCTGCACTTTGGATAGTTCCTCTCTGCACGGTAGAGGCAGGACCCGAAGGATCCCGTCTGTGCATCCTGTTCACTGATGGAGGTTGGCTCGAGGGTGGAGGGGAGGAGCGCTCGAGGGTGGCGAAGAGGGGCAGGAGAGGATCAGGGGGAGCAGCGGTCGAGGGTGGAGAAGCGCTCTCGAGGGCGGGAGGAGGAGGGTGGGTGAGGACCAGGGTGCGCTTGACGCGGCGAACGCAGCTCTGTCCCTCCTGACGCTCCTCCTGCTCCTCCCCCGGGTTAATTCTGCGCGGACCCCCGGCGCTGCCACAGGGCGGAGGCCGCCACCTGGAGCCTCACGTCCTCCGCCCGCCTCGCGCGGCCGACGCTGGCCGTGGCCGTGCGGCGCGCGCGCCGCATGTCCAGCAGGGGGGCGAACCGCCCGGCCTGCTCGTCGGCGTACGCCTCGACGTCGGCCAGCGAGAGGTCGCCGTCCACCTCCCGCTCCGCGCCCCGGGCGCCCTCCAGCAGGACGCCCTCCGATCTGGCCTCCTGGAAGGGTAGGGAAGGACACGCACACACGCACACACACACACACCCGTAGACTTCTGGAGGCCCGCGAGGATGTCCTGGATCGAGGACGGACCCCCCCTCCCTGGCGCGCGGAGCGCGCTAGGGGCAGCGCCGGAGGCGCCGTCGGGAAGGCCCAGGCGCCGATCCAAGAGTCAAGAAATCCGCGCGGCCCTCCGAAAGCTTGAGTTTTTGCGGTTGTGTGTTCTTCGAGCCTTGGCGCTCTCGTCGCTGTCGAACTCCTGGTCGGCCTGGGGGGGCCACTGCTTGGCCGAGGCGTCGGCGGTGCCCGGGCAGCGAGTATGGCACTCCGCCGGCAAGAGGAAGGAGACGCTCTTGCGCCCCGCTGCCGTGCACGCCGCCATCGTGGATGAGCCCATGGAGGTGGTCGGAGAAACGGTAGAGGGAAACAGTTACGGAACACTCCTCCTCCCCCCCAAACTCAAAGCTGGCACGCGTGGGGGAGACTGCGGTCGAGGTGCAACTCGTCAGACCCACCGCCGACTCTGAACATTGGGGGGAGGGGGAGGCGCTGACAGATGAATGCGGCACGAGTGTTCGCTATCTTTTCCGAGGCCTGAAGCCCAGCACACACCATCCGTCTCCGGCGGGAGTACCCCAAATGTTAAGTCGGGCCTGTCCCCCTACAGGGGGATTTTGGGTGAACAAATTTAAATAATACTGAAAACAAAAACTTCCAAAATGCTCAAAAATAGTCAAACAATAGTCCCCTGACGATTTTTTTTTGAAACTATTTTTGAAGATCCCTCCTGTCGAGGGACAGGCCCGACTTGACCCCAAATGTCATGCCCGCGCGGGTTTCTCGCGTCGGCCCTGGAGCCCCCCCTGGCGGCGCCCCCGAGGCTGCCCCTGGCGCTCCCCGCGCGCCAGGGAGGCGAGTCCGGCGCCGATCCGGGAGATCAGCGCGGACCTCCGAAGGTTCATGTTGTGTTCTTCGGGGAGCACATCCACCTCCTCCTCCTCCACCTCCTCCTCCTCCTCCTCCAGCTCTTCCCCCCTCCTCCTCCAGCTCCTCCTCCTCGCCCTTCCTTTTTGTGCAAGAGCCATGGCACACGTGCCACTTGTTTTGTGTTCTTCGGGGAGCACCCCGAGTGAAGGCCTCCAGACTGGGGTCCGAGTATATGGGGCCAGAGGATCGCGCCGCATCGCAAGTGCATCGGCGATGCATCGGCGATGCGTCGGCGCCGTCGGCGTGGAACAATTCGGGCTTCGCATCGAGCCGCATCGCTGATGCAAAGGCGATGCGGCGCTTTCCTCTGGCCCCATCTACTCGGACCCCATTCGGGAGGCCTGGACCAAGGCAGCTGAGGCCGCCCCGCCTGAGGTTGAACCAGCATGGCTACGGAGCACGAACCTCCGAAGGTCTACGCGTAAGCACTGATTCTCCCTTTCCAACCAGTTGAGATGGGTAGATTCAACATGCAGAGCTCCCGAATCGCCTCGCACACCCTGCACACCGCGGCCGCCGGGGCCAACGTGCGCTCGTGCTCACTGGGTATCCCGCCTTGCGCATTCGACGAATGACGAGTGCATACCGCGGCCGCCGGGCCCAACGTGCGCCAGCGCTCCGTGGGTGTCCCGTCCCGCGTTCTTCGGTGGGGACCGATCGAAGCAACAGCACATTCTCTTCGAGGGGAGGCCTTCCACGCTGGTCGGGCCCGGGGCTCAAGGAGCCCGCCGCTCGCACCGTGGCGCCGAACCAACGTTAAAACGCTCGGTGGAGCTCCCCAGGGGCCCGTCGAGCAACGGCCCGGGGCGACGAACCGGTCGTCCCAGAGAGTGTGGGTCCAGGGTTGTAGACAGAGGAAAAAGCAGCTGCATAAACACTGACTTTCTGAGCTCCGCACGGGCTTCTTCTTGGATCATCGGCGGCGACGATAGGGGCGAATAGCCCAGGGGCGGGCATTACACGTATTGGTCCGGGAGCCTCGCCGAAGGCATGGACCATCGACGCCCCCGGATACAGGTATTGCTCTCCCCTGGGCAATTCGCCCCCATCGTCGCCCCCGAGATCAAGGCTGGGCCCCCTTTCCCCCAGCGCGCGGAGCGCGCCAGGGGCAGCGCTGGAGGCGGCGCCAGGGGGGCCCGGCGAAGATCCAGGAAATCCGCGCGGAGTTCAAATTTTTACAGCTTGTTTCTCGAGTTTCGAGTACAGTCGGGCCGCTGACAGAAGGAACGCTAAACAAGAAGCGAAGCCCCTTCTTGGCCCTGTAAGCGCCTCCGTGCCCCAGGAAGGCAAGAGGAACAGCACTGGAGGAACCTAAGGAACATCGAGCCCCTTCCGAACCCAAACTGTTCCTTATTTCAGCGTCTCGACTGTGGAGCTCACGGAGGGAGCAATCAGCAGAGACTTGTACGACTTGGGCGTCGCAGAGGCGTAGGCGGGCCACGGAGCGTCGGAGAGCACGCGGGGCCGAGGCCAGGTGGATCATGCAGCAGACAGGCCCGGAAAAGCACGGGGCGGCTGCGGAAGAGGGCGGAACACGCGGAGCTCCCCGCCGGGGCTCGACTAAAGCAGTGTTTTTCTCTGTTTTGTCTTCGTTGTCCCCCAGCGTTGAACCTAAACGGTGTTTTTCGTTTTCGTTTTGTTTTCGTTTTCCCTCGTTTTGTCTTCAATCCATCTCTACCGCAAAACGAAGTCGAAACGAAAACGGCACACGAAATCGCCAAAACCCTGTTTAGGTACAGCCCTGTTGTCCCCCGGTGCGTCTCCAACGCGCCGTTGCTGCACAACGAAGTCACAGCGAGAACGGTCCAGGAAGTCGCTCTGGAGCCTCCGGAGGAGGGAAGCACGCTCAGAACATGTATAGGACCTCGCGTGGGGCGTGGACAGCCCATGGCTCCGCCAGGGAGTCGCATGGAGTCGTGCGAAGGGGCTTCGCCGGACCCAAAGAAACAAAACCATGACGTCGGAGGTCTGGGGCGGCGTTTGTGCCCCCACTGCCCAGGCAAGGGGGCGAAGAGGAGACACGATACCTACTCGCCACAGCAAGGGGGACGAAAAGCGTAGGTTGGGTCAAGGGCTTCTTGAGGGCGCGTCCCTGACCATACCTGGGCAATCCCATCCAATTTCGTCTGGTCTGGATCCCACTTCCCCCCTGTTCAGGACAGGCAGTCTATATAGGGGGCCCTTACTGCACAGACGAACTTGTCGGATGTCCACGCAGAAATCTCGGATCGACGCTGAACTTCGCCCCTGGCGAACTCCGCGTGCAAGGGAGTGAGGTCCGCGCGAACCTGCGATGCGTTTCTCTTAGTTGTGTTTACACTTAGGAGTTCGTGCTACGGATTCCAAAGTAATGGGATGGGATTACAAGGTCGTCGCCACGTTAGCGCCCGTGCCGCCAACTGCGCGCCTCGCGGGCGCCCCTGTGCGCTCGGTGAGTTTCTCGAGGTTGCGCCACGTGGCCACCCGTGCCGCCTGAAGGGCGCCTCGCGGGCGCGCCGTGCGCTGCGTGGGTTTCCCAAAGTTGCGCCGCGTTGCCGCCCGTGCCGCCTCGTGGGCGTCTCGTGGGCGCCCCGTGTTCTGAGCTTACACGGCGTAGCTGTCACCGAATACATGATACCACATGGTTTACACATAGCCTACACAACATAGCTTACATCGCAGATAGCTTACATCAAACAGATCCCACCACCAGCTCACACCGCATAGCTTACACATCATAGCTTACGCCACGCTGCTAACGCTGCGTCGTCCCCACCTCCAAAGCTCACACTACGCAGCTTACACCACATAGATGTCACCACATCGCTTACACCGCCTCCAAAGCACAATGACGCAATGGTTGGGGTCAACGATGCTTAATCTATGTGTACACTGAAAATGTATATATATATATACATAGTACACACAAGAATGCATTGGCGTTTCGTGCCCCCTCCTTGTTCCGGACGCTTCCTTGGCAAAACAATAAATCATCGCTTGCTGCAGCAGGGGGGACCTCGAGACCTGGACGGGCGACCGGTTCATTTTTCTGCTATCCCTGGTGCCTGCTGACACCGCGTTCGCCCGATGCGCTTGCACGCATGTGCGCAGGAGCGGGGAAGGAATGCTGATGTGTCACGCGCGAAGGTGCTGGCAAACGACGGAGCATCAAACTTTTGCGATTGCGCTTGTCCGTGAACGGGGAACGGGAAGGGAACAGGGATGAAGGGGAGAGTTGGGGAGGCGGAAGGGGGGAGGAGGGGGTAAGATCTCTCTCTCTCTCTCTCTCGAGGAATCTAAACCTCTAGTCTCAAGCGTGAAACCAAGATCTTCGGGTCATCTCGATGTACTTCATAGGAGAACGCCGTCTATGTGTTTTTGGGGCTCTTTTGGCCGGTATTGGGGGCCCTCTTGGGCCGTATTGGGGCCTTCTTGGGCCGTCTCGGGGAGCTGGGGCCCTCCACAAATCTTCTGAAGCCATCTAGGGCTCTCTTGGGGGTCTCCAGTGGCCTTCTTGGGAGTCTCCCATGGCTTTCGCGGGTCTCTCTTGGGAGCCTTCTGGGGGCATCTTGGGCTTCTTGTGGCCAGTGTCGGGGCTCTCCGGGGCAGTCTTCGGGCCCTCATGGGCCGTCTTCAAACCCTATGGGGGGCCTCTTGGGCCGTCTTGGGGCGATATCGGTGGCCCATCGGGCCGTCTTGGACGCTGCGAAGACCCCACAAGCGGATATGCTAAACCTATATATATATATATATATATATACGCATATGTATATAGTTATATATAGCTATATATATATAAATAACTATATTCCTCTTCCTACATTTGTATAAGCCCGGGCGGGGGGAAAACCCGTCCCCCCCCCCTAAAACCGGATCCCCGGGATCTGCAGCTTTGGGACCCTCCGGACGGGCCTCGAAGCGCAGGGCGTTTTGCCAAGCCTCCGCATCACACCCAGGGCGATCAGGGGGGTCACCGGAGATGGGAGCCGGCGGTAAACCGTCAACCTTGGTTACCGCCGGGAACTCGTAGAGCTTCCTCGTGCAATGCGGGCGCGGCAATCTCGCATTGCGCGCGCGAGGGCGCGGTCAGCAGGACGTGGAGAAGAAGAAGGAGTGAGGGAAAAGCATCTCTGGAAAAAAATAGACATACCAGACCCAGTTCAGGCGTCTGGACACTGTAAACTAGCGCGCCTGTTGATTTCCTTCCGATGGCTGCGCCGAAGAGCGTAAAGAAAACCATCACCACCTCTAAACAAAATTAACAGCTTTGGGACCCTCCGGACGGGCCTCGAAGCGCAGGGCGTTTTGCCAAGCCTCCGCATCACACCCAGGGCGATCAGGGGGGTCACCGGAGACGTCCCAGAGACCCCCACGACAGCACAAGAGCGCTCCAAGAAGCCGTCATACCCCGAAAGATCGCTCCAAAACGTACCAAGAGGCCTCCAAGAGCACCCCCAACAAGGCCCCAACAGGAAAGAATCATTGATTCTATGTAGGTTTGGGTGCAGTTTGGGTTCTCCTCTTTTCGGCTTCCCGACGCTCCAAGACGGCGGTCTCCTAGGCGTCCGAAGCCGCCTGGGAGGCTCCAAAATCACCCAACAACCATCCGAAAGGGCTTCCAGGCAATCCAGGAGAGCTCCAAAACGGCACAACAGGGGTCCAAAATGGCCCTAAGAGAGCACCATGGCGGCCCAAGATGGCCCCAAGACACCCTCCGAAGCATTCCAAATCGTGACTGGGGCGCTCAGGGAGACCGCGGTTAGAGGCAGGTTGGCCTTAGGAAGGCCCAGAGGCCCCCAGAACACACCTAGGAGGCCTCCAGAAGGCTTTAAGAAAACCTGAGAATTTTGGTGAGGCCTCCAGAGACTCTCCAAGGAGGAGCCTCCGCAAAAAGAGCTGAGGAGGATGGGGAGAATGCCCAGGGTATGGCGAGAATGAGGAAAAATAAGCATGGAGGAAGGACAACGAACAGCATTAGTATAACGGCGATGCCAGAAAAGGCAGCAAGGAGTTCTCGCTAAATTGTCGGCTTGACCTTCCTGCCATTTCCGCCTGCATACCAAGCTCCAAGGACCAAGGTGCATGGCGCGAAGCGCCACTGCAGTCTTGTATATATATATATATATATTCCTAAGGGAATGGGACGATGTTTGCTTCTTCAGGGCTCCCTTAACGCCCTCTTGGGGCGTCATGGGGGCCTCTTCGGCCGTCTTCAGACCATCGAGGTTCCCTTTTTTTGTTCACGAGACGCTGTAGCGTCACACATTTTCGTGTCCGAGTGCCTGGCCGACTCACTGATAGGCACGACCACTGCGGCGCATTCCTCCGTAGTGTTTGGTGCCGCATCGTGAATAACCGAGCTCACCGATACATTTTGAGCTTTGCTGCTGCCCCTGGCCTCAACCACATCTCCTACAACTACGCTGGTGACGTGCGGCGTCCGCTGCCTGGAATTACCGGCCTGTAACTCGTGCAATGCCAGGAGTGCGAAGCCTGTCAGCACATGCCACACAGCATGCGGCTGGAACATGCTCCAAGGAGCGCAGAAGTCTCCCAACGAGCTATCTTTCTTCGCCTTGATTCCCAACTGTCGAAACACCAAGGCGACTGACGTCGCCAGGAATGCACAACAACACAAACACATATGCCAACTGCGCGTGTCAGATGATAATCTCAGCGTGATCACCGCCTCTGACACGATGACTGTGCCAAGCTGAATGTTAAATGCAATCACAGAGCTGATCTGCCACTTCAGCGACATCATCACTGCATCGCATAACGACGCTGACAGTAACAAGAGGGCAATAGTCCAGCGGCTCCCACTGACAGTGCTTGGCGCAGACAGGCGAAGCCATCTCCAAGCGGTGGCCGCGAGCGCAGCGTTCATCACCCAGTACATAGCGCCAACGTCTAACTGTTGTCCCAAGCGAGTGAGCGAGGCGTGGAACAGGAAACTGCCCCCTGCCAAGCATAATGAGGAAATGCCGACCGCTACGAGCAAGGATGGTGGGAGTACCAACGGCTCCGCGGACACGCGTGGCACGGCATCTCCCGCATCTGCGTCCCTCTCATCTTCACGTTCCTCGCCTCGCGCGAAGCCCTGGGCGGCGCGGCCCAACGCCCAACCTCCAGCACAGACGTAGGCTAAATTGGACCAGCTGTTTGCGGGGGTGCCAAGCGCCTCGCCCTTCCGCCTGGCCTCGCAGTATGATTTACCATTGCGCCTCAGCTTCTCGTCCCAGGCATCGTCGCCAAAAGCGTCAAAGAGGCAGACAGCCAGCGCCATGACTGCAGTCAGGCCAGTCGCAGCCACGAGAGGATAGGCGGGCTGACCGAGGATGCGCGCCCGTCGATCTGCAGGGCATCTCCGGCGGCTGGGAGCCGCCGGGGCCATCTGCGCAGGCCAGGGCAGGCGGTGCACTTGAGAAGCTTGCGCCAAAATGGCTACGGACCATCGAGGTTCCTCTTGGAGCGCTCTTGTGCTCCTGGGTCTCTCGTGCGCACTTCCGATGACCCTTCCGATCGCCTCGAGTCTGCTCGCAAGGTCCGGCAAGGCGCCCTGGGAGGCCTGGAGGGCCAGCGGACCCTGTCCAAGGGCGCCCAGGGGGCCGCCGAGACGTCCGAAAGGCCGTCCGGGGCGTCCCTGGGGGGGGTCCGGTTTAGGGGGGCGGAGGGTGCTTCCGCGTGATAAAAAAATCAGAATGGGAAGATGTGTGCGTGTTGATGAAATCTGTTCGCATTCTACTATGCACGCAATGTTTCTCAGCCTGCCTCTGCCCAACCGAGCTGCTGAGGCCCACGTTCCGCGAAGACCACTGCACAGTCGGGAGCATGCTGCGCATGTGCGGTGCTTCACGGTGCTCAGGGCGGGTGCAACTTGGAGCACACCTCCGCGCGTGCGGCCAGGCTTCTCTGACATGGGCCCCTCCATGGCCAAGAGTGGGGAAGCCCTGCGGACGAAGAGCAGGACATCCCGCCAGCCCTCGGAGCGTCGGATGACTAGGCACTTAGTTATCGCCCCCCCTCTTCCCCTTCGGGGAGGGGTCTGCACCTCAGCCTGCCCCACGTCCCAGCACCTACCTCCCTGCATGTGGGCTAGATGTGGCTGGCAGTCTGGCCATCTGGAGCAGCTGGAACAGGAGGGAGGAGAGAAGGTGAGGAGGAAAGGAAGGATGAGGCGTAGCGGAAGGATGAGGATGGCAAGGGGAAAGAACAGCATAATTAGGATCAGCAGCGTAGCAGCTAGCAGCAGTACTAGCAACAGGGGCAGGAGGATGAAGGAAAAACGATCGACTGACAGGTATGGGAAAAGCCGAACCGAGGCCTGATAAAGAGTGATAAGGCGGCTTCATTGTCAGGATGCGGGCGACATCTTGAGACTCTGTTGAAGCCCTTTTGGAATGGTCCGCCGGGCTCCGTTGGTGCACTTTTGGGACTTCTTGAATCCTGCAGAATCCTCATGGAGGCGTGTTGGCGCCTGTTGAGCACCAAGGACGATTGACGCTATCGGCGTGTTCCAGATTTGGACGGGTGTGGGGCCCCCTTGGGGCACACCCAGGCCCTGTCTTTGAGTTCTCGTGTGTGCCTCTGGGGCCGTTGTGGGCCCCTCCTGAGCTCGTCTTCGGGCTCTCTTGGGCGACCTTGAGATCATCTTGAGACCTCGAGAGGCCATCGGAAGAGAAACAAACGGCAAGGCTACAGTCGTTGAGTAAAAAACAACTGCTACCAAGTTCTGGCCTATCGGGGCAATCCTCGGGAGGCTGCGTAGCTACCTCGGGTCGTCTTGTTTCGGTCACCAGGCCTCTTGGAGCCTCAGTATGCAGGCTCCTGAAGGCCAAGTTGCGGGGAGGGAGGGAGGGGGATCAGAGATGGAGGGGAGAGGGGCGGAAGGCGAGCCGAGAGGGCGCAGGTGTGGGAGGAGGGAGGGGAGTTGATGCAGGGGAGGGGGAGGAGGGGATTGGGAGGGGAGGGGCAGAGGGGCAGGGGACAGGGATGGGGAGAGGAAGGGCCTGGCGGGGAGGGGGGGAGGGGACCAGAGGAAGAGGAGGAGGGGGAAAGAGAGGAAGACGTGGGGGGGGGGGGGGAAACGAGGCGAATGGGTCACCTAAGGCGCAACAATCGAGAAAGACGATCATTATCGCGCTGGGAGGATGGGGTTTGGAAAATACGGGGCACGACTCCGTGAAAAGCACCCTCAGCACACGCGGTAAGATTGAAGACGTGCTCATTTCTCCCAGCCCCATCCTCCCCAACCCGATGACTGTCTTTCCGAACAGTGGGTGTGGATCCGATGCGAAGCGTCAGTCTTCTCGGAAAGATGTGCACAGGAGGACATGCCACCTGCCCAGAGACGGCCCGGAGCCCCGAGCGGGATCAGCCAGCATCGAGATCAGAGAATCGGATCGCACACCGGGCGTCGCGTGTGCACAACCACGCCGTGCGGACATCGGGCCGCATCGGGTCGCCAGGAGAACGGATTCGAATCGGACTGGGCCAGGCGAACTCGGCATCGAACCATCAAATCGAACTGGGCCCTGGAGAGCGCCGCGAGCGAGAGACATTCACCCACTACTGACGTCGACAGTGGACAGAAGAAGAAAAAGAAGCAACTGCAGAAACATAAACTTTAGGAGCTCCGAGCGGATCTCTAGCGGATCTCTAGGATCGGCGCTGGGGCCCCCCTTCCCTGGCGCGCGCGGAACGCGCCAGGAGAGGCGCCGCCAGGGGGCTCCAACGCAGATCCAAGAGATTCGCGCGAATCTCCGAAAGCTTTTGTTTAGGCTGTTGCTTCTGCCTCTCCGAAAGAGCACAGCACGTGTCCTTCATCGCATCTCTGACCTTGGCCTGCTTGCGCGTCTCGTCGGCGCGGGCGGCCCTCTTGGCCTTCACCGCGCTGCTGCTCTTGCCCTGGGGGGGGGGGGCCCGCGGCTGACGGGACAGCTTGCCAGAAGCTGCGACCCTGCTGGAGAGCTGGAGAGGGAACGAAAGGAGAAGGAGAGCTGGAGAAGGAGCGAGAGGGAACGAGAGGGAGAACTGGAGAAGGAACGAGAAGGAACGAGAGGGAACGAGAGGGAACGAGAGGGAGCGAAACGAGAAGGAGCGCTGGAAGAGGAGCCGTGCTCCTCACCGGAGAAGGAGAGCTGGAGAAGGCACGACGAGAGGGCTCGGCCGGCCACGGCGGGCCTCGGCCGCGGACAGGCTCCCCGAGGCCCAGACCCGAGGAGCGGCCCGCGAGCCAGCGCCCCCTCCTCCTCCTCCTCCTCCTCCTCCTCCTCCTCCTCCTCCCTCCTCCTCCTTCCTCTCCTCCTCCTCCTCCTCCTCCTCCTCCTCCTCCTCCTCCTCCTCCTCCCTCTCCTCCTCCCTCTTCTCCTCCTCCTCTCCTCATCCTCCTCCTCCTCCTCCTCCTCCTCCTCCTCCTTCCTCTCATCCTCCTCCTCCTCCTCCTCCTCCTCCTCCTCCTCCTCCTCCTCCTCCTCCTCCTCCTCCCTCTCCTCCCTCCCCTCTTCTCCTCCTCCTCCTCCTCCTCCTCCTCCTCCTCCTCCTCCTCCTCCTCTCATCCTCCTCCCCCTCTCCTCCTCCCTCTCTCCTCCTCCTCCTCTCCTCCTCCTCCGCCTCCTCCTCCTCCTCCTCTCCTCTCCTCCTCCTCCTCCTCCTCCTCCTCCTCCTCCTCCCCGCCTCTCATCCTCCCTCTCCTCATCTCTCCTCCCTCCTCCTCAGCCCTCTCCTCCTCCTCCTCCTCCTCCTCCTCCTCCTCCTCCTCCTCCGCCTCCTCCTCCTCCTCCTCCTCCTCCTCCGCCTCCTTCCTCTCCTCCTCCTCCTCCTCCTCCTCCTCCTCCTCCTCCTCCTCCTCCTCCTCCTCTCCGATCCTCTTCCCTATTCCGCCTCCTCCGCCTCCTCCTCCTCTCCTCCCTCTCCCTCCTCCCTCCTCCTCCTCCTCCTCCTCCTCTCCTCTACTCCTCCTCTCCTCCTCCTCCTCCTCCTCCTCCTCTCCTCCCGCCTCCTCCCTCTCCTCCTCCTCCTCCTCCTCCTCCTCCATCTCTCCTCCTCCATCCTCCTCCTCGCCTCCCCTCCTCCTCCTCCTCCTACCCCTCTCCTCCTCCTCCTCATCCTCCGCCCTCTCCTCCTCCTCCTCTTCCTCCTCCTCCTCCTCCTCCTCCTCCTCCTCCTCCTCCTCCTCCTCCTCCTCCTCCTCCTCCTCGTCCTCCTCCTCCTCCTCCTCCTCCTCCTCCTCCTCCTCCCTCTCCTCCTCCTCTGGGCCCGAAGGGGTGCTCGCACTTCGGCGCCTTCTAAGTGTACTCGCACGCCTCCTTTTTCCACCAGGCGAACAGTCGTCGCTGTGGCCGCGCGCTCCCCCGATGCGGCCGTGGCTCCAGGGAGCTTCCCCTGCGAACTCGCTTCGCCACGGCCCGCGGCGCGCGAGGAAAAGAGAGCCCCCGTTCGCGCCTCCTTCAGGGCAGACCCGCGGAGTCTGGTGAGCCGGGAGAGTCGGGTGCCGAATCGTCCCGAGCCCGCGGTTCCGTACGGAACGCTGGCACGGTGGTGGCGGCGACATCGCATGTCTCATGCCTCGCAACTGCTTTGGCCCAGCTCTGACTGATCTTCTCCCCTCTCTGCATACGCATCTTGTTCCATCCCTCCATCCACCTCCGCAGCTGTGTGCCTGGATCTCTTTGGGAAAACTGAACAAAAACGCAAATCCACCTCTAATTCTAACACGCGTGATCACGAGGTGCCTAGACCGCACGCCCCATGGGGCGTTCGGCTTGCACCCCAAAGCAATGAAAAATCAGTGTTCCCGGAGGGCTGTGATTGGAAGGGCATTCTGCCGAATCCTCGAACGCACTGTTGTCTGACGTGAGTGGGGTAAGCGTCGCCTCCGCCTGGTGTCCATCTAATCAGGTCGTGCAAGCACCTGGTTGCATGTTCTCGGCCGCGACGCTACACCTTTCCCAAACACAGACTCTGCCTTCGTGGATGCAGAACCTCAGGGGTAAGAGCTCTGCACATTCCTCTCGACGGTCGAGTGGCCCACAACAAGCAGTGCTTTCGGATACTGGCGACGTATCGCAACAGCATGGGCGATGCCCTTGCGTGCAGCACATCAGACGCAGCATCAAGCGTCTTGGATGCATCGCTTGCCACCTGCTTCTGCTGCTGCGTCAATCGGGGATGGACAGACCCCCCTTTAGCAAAACGTGGCTTAGTGAAAACGACCTGAGGCCCAAACGCGGGCGCAAGCCTGGAAAATGACGGCCACGGCGCCCTCTCGAGAACCGAAAACGGACATTTGACTAATCGACGTGTCACTGTTGGGGCTTCTGTCCACCCCCGAGTCAAGGGTGAGGGCGTCGGTCCGGTGGGGCCCGTGGCGAGCCGAGAGCGAGGCGAGGAGGGCTGGATCTGCCACGAGCCTCGGCCTTCGCGGGCCGTGGAAGCATCCAGGTCGTTTGCCGTACCCGTCACCAGATCTCAAGCGAACGGCGCCCGAGCTGGAACCTCAACTGGCAAATCTAGGGGAACAAACAATTGCATAAACACAAAAACTCGGAGCTCCGCGCGGATTTCTCGGATCGGCGCTGGGCCCCCCGGCGGCGCCTCCGGCGCCGCCCCTGGCGCGCTCCGCGCGCCAGCGGGGGGTCCAGCGCCGATCCGAGAGATCCGCGCGGACCTTCGAGTTTTTGTGTTTATGCAACTTTTTGTTCCCCTATGTACCCGTCACCAGATCTCTGGCGAACGGCGCCCGAACTGGAACCGCAACTGGCAAATCGTAAAACACACCCACCCGAGCGAAAGACCCAACCGCATGCAAGCGTGATTAACACAGGCCAGGGAGGACGAAGCAAAGGGGAGCTCCCAGTGGGGCAACGAAACGTGTGAGGAATGAACGGGGGGACGCACGCGAACCCTACCACAATAGCCTTTGGTGGAGCTCTCTTTGGGGCCACGAAACGTGTGAGGGGTGTGCAAAAGTGGAGGGGGGGCGGCATGCGAACCCTGCTACTCGGGCCTTCGGCGGAGCTGCCTAAGGGAACACTGCCACTGAAGCCTTCGGGAACGCATGCGAACACTGCCAGCGGAGCTTTCGGGGGAGCTCCCTGTGGGGTCACGACACGTGTGAGGTGTGCGCCGACATGAGCGGGGGGGGCGCATGCGAACCCTGCCACCAGAGCCTTCGGTGGAGTTCCCTGCGGGGCCACGGAACGTGTGAGGGATGTGCCGAAACGGGCGGACGCGTGCGAACCCTGTCACAAAAGCCTTCAGTGCAGCTCCCTGCGGGGCCAAGTAACACGTGAGGGGTTGTGCTGCAGTGGTCGGGGGGACGCATGCGAACCCTGCCACCCTGCCATGGAAGCCTTCGGTGGATCTCCCTGTGGGGCCACGAAACGTGTGAGGGGTGTACCGAAGTGGCGGGGGGGGATGCATGCAAATCCTGCCACAGGCTGTCGGTGGAGCTTTCTGCGGGGCCACCACGAAACGTGCGACAGGTGCGCCGAAATGATCGGGGGGACGCATGCGAACCCTGCCACAATAGCCTTCGGTGGCCACGATTGAAGGGTGTGCCAAAGTGGAGAGGGGGACTGCATCCGAACCCTGATCACAGTCTGCCCCATGTAGATACTGTCAAGCACTCCCCTGGAACAGGAGTTATTTGGGATCAAGTGTTTCCAAGGTTCTCCTGGATCGCATGTGGGGACCTCGCAAAGGGCCCCACCCGGACCAGACAAGTAATTCAGGTGCAGAAGCTCAGCGGGCAGACTGCCACGCATTGTTCGAGCCGTCCTGATGGTTGGATTCCTGTTGCGTCGAGGCAGTAGCTCCTCGTTCCGTCGCAGCTTCTCTCTACCATCCTGTGGTGTTGGGTCCTCGTGTTGAACCAGCAGAGCCCCGCGTCTCTTCTCCCCGCCTGTCCTCCTCCTCCTCCTCCTCCTCCTCCTCCTCCTCCTCCTCCTCCTCCTCCTCCTCCTCCTCCTCCTCCTCCTCCTCCTCCTCCTCCTCCTCCTCCTCCCCCTCCTCCTCCGTCTCCTCCCCATCCTCCTCCCATCTTTGCCTCCCTCACGGCAGGTTCGTGCGGCGGTGACGTCGGCGTTGGTCTCTGACACCCCGGGGATTGTTCAACCTCGAACGATCGCGGCTTCCCGACAGCGAAGATCGCTCGACATCGGCCGGTTCTCGGCCACTGGCGGCGTTCAAGCTCGAAGGCCCGAGCTGACGTCGCCGCTGCGTCAACGGCGTGAACCTGCCGTACGTAGGCTTAGGTCGGGAATGTCCCCCTACGGGCGGATTTTGGGCGAAAAATGCAAAAAGCATTCAAACAATACACCAAAATGGTGACCATTTTGGTGTATTGTTTGCATGCTCTGCATTTGCCCAAAATCTGCCCGGCGATCTGGCCGGAACCGGACCGAACCGGAACAGGAACCGGTCCGAACCAGAAACAAAAAATAAACGAACCGAACCGAACCGAACCAGAAAGTTACGAGACCGAACCGAACCGAACCGAACCGGAGGCGCTCCAGGACCTATATCCGAACCGAACCGAACCGGCGCTGTCCTGATGGTCAAAAATAAACCCAAAATCGTCCCCCCACAATTTTTCAATACTATTGTTGGATCTTCCTCCTGCAGAGGGGCGCGCCCGACTCAACTCGGAGCCCCCGCGGGCGCGAGGGGGGCCCGCGGCGAGGCGCGCGCGCCGCCTCGGCGGCCTCTTCCGCTGGGCGGGCCGCCGGCGCGGCGGCGGCGGCGGCCGTGGCGGCTGCTACTGCGAGTGGGGTGCGGGCAATGTCTATATCCACATCCAGGGCGTCTTGGAGTTTGGGACTATCTTCCCAAGAAACATGAGGCGCACTGGATATGGAGTATAATCTGCCTCCAAAAGGATAGATGTTTATACATATCCAGTGCGCCTCGGCCTTGCGGCGCACCTTCCAAGAAAGTCCAAGACGCACTGGATACGGATATAAATATTGCCCGCATGGGGGCCGCTGCCCCGTCCCCGTGTGATGCCTGCTTCCTCATGAACTTATGAAGACAATCCTGGAGGCTCCGCGCGGCGACTGGAGACCAGATATGCGTCGGATCTGCGTCAGAGCTGCGTTGGGTTTACTGTGGGTGGCCCAAAAGGGGTCCGGCTGAAAGGGGGTGGTGCAATAGATTTGGGGCAGTTGTACTGCCAGTGTATTGCGCCGGGGAACTGCATTGCATTGTATTGCAAGTATTGTGTTGCACGCGAAAAGACACAAATATATCTGCGCCCCGAAATGCACTGCACGGCCCAAAAACTACATGTTGCAACCCCATCAATCTATTGCACCACCCCCTTGTCGCTGGACCCCCTTTGGGTCAACCCGATTCACGTCGGACTACGTCGGACTTGCGTCGGACTGGCTCCGGAGCATCGCCGCGCGAGCGTCGACCCATAGCTTACGGAACTGACCGGCGGACTAGATCATGCCACTATTACGCGCCGCGCGAGGCCTCCAGGATTTTCCTCATAACCTTCCCCCCGCTGGTCCGAAGCAGCGCCATCGCACGCTGCGCCCCAGGCCTTAGGCCTTGCGCCCGGGGCCCAAGAGCCGTGCGGCGACGGACCGCGTGGTGACCTGCAAGAGCCCCCGAGGAGACCTCACCGCGCGGCCCGCCGCCGGACGTTTTTCTGCAAAGCCCGGAGGCTCCCATCGTTCGAGACGTCCTCCGAGAATGACCCCAGTCCCAAAACCGTGCGGTCACCCCGAGCCCCCCCCGACTCACCACGCGGTGCGGCCACCGCGCCGTTTGGGGCCCCCCCGCTGCGGTTGCCCTCCCGACACCGCGCTGGCCCGGGAGGTGCCCACTCTTCGCGCTCGGGCTCGCGCTCGACGGGCGCGGCATCGCTGGCCCCGCGCCTCGTGTGCCTGCCTTCGTCGACCCGATGTGTGCTCGCTCCCCTGCGAGCAGCGCCTGCAATGCACGGCCCACGTGCACCGTCGAACACGAGCCCGCTCGCAGCGCCGTGCCGGCGTGCGGCGCCGTGCCCGCCACGCGACGCACGTGCCGTGCCTTGCCCAGCCGTGCCGTGCCCCGCGCGCCGTGCCCCGCGCGAGGTGCCCGCGCGCGCATGGGCCACGCCTGTGCCCGCGTGCCGCGTGCCTACGTAGCCCGCTGCCCGCGCCCGCCTGCCACGCCGTGCTGCTCGCTCGCCGTGCCCGTGCCCGTGCCACGCCGTGCCGTGCCGGCGTGCCCGAGCTGCAGCACGCGATCAGCGTGTGCCGCTCGCGCGCCGCGCCGCGCCGTGCCGCGCCCTGCCGTGCCGCGCCCGCTGCCGTGCCGCGCTGCCGTGCCGCGCTGCCGTGCCGCGCTGCCGTGCCGCGCTGCCGTGCGTCTGCTCCGGGAGGGGGCCACATGCGAGCCCTGCCCCTGCCCCCCACGACTTCTCAGGGGGAGGGTGGAGTTCACTTCGTTCGGGAGCTCCCGAGCGAAGTGAGCCCCATCCTCCCCCTCGGAGATGGTGGGGGTTAGGGGTATAGGGTTCGCATATGGCCCCCTGCCCAGGGCCGTGCTGGAAGAGGCCGGCTCGGCCGCTCTTCCGCCGCCGTGGCGCACATCGGTGGCCGCTGATGGCCCCGCGTCCTCGACGTGGGCGGGCCCAGAGGAGGAGGAGGAGGAGGAGGAGGAGGAGGAGGAGGAGGAGGAGGAGGAGGACGAGGAGGAGGAGGAGGACGAAGGAGGACGGGAGGAGACGGAGTCAAGACCTCCGCCGCGAACGCTTCCAAGGACGAGCTCGCCGGGCGCCTCTGTGAGGGCTCCTCCTCCTCCTCCTCCCTCCTCCTCCTCCTCCTCCTCCTCCTCCTCCTCCCTCCTCCTCCTCCTCCTCCCTCCTCCTCCTCTCCTCCTCCTCCTCCTCCTCCTCCTCCTCCTCCTCCTCCTCCTCTGGTGGTTCAAAGACGGGGTCGTGAGGGATGGGGTCCTGAGGACGAGCTGCCTGAAACAGTGCAGGATCAACCTCGAATCCCTTCCTATCCTTAGGGCCCCAACCCTCAGGACCCCATCTCTGAACCACCGACACAGCGCAGGCGATGCAGGGGAGCGGTGTCTGCCCAGCGAGGCGGGACTTTTTTATCTATGACGACCGCCTGGGGGCAAGACATCTGCGGCCTGCAGAAAAAAACATTCTCAGCAGGAGGGTGCACCGATCGCTGGTCCGAAGACTGGTCGCCTTCGCCTGGTAATGGGAGGGAGGAGGGTGCCCAGCGAGACACGGGCGCCGAGGTTTTCGAATTCACTCAAAAACCGTTCTGTGGATGCCAGCCTTCATGTGGCTGCGGAGTCATAGGGAATCTTCTCGCCAGAGTCTCTGTCGAGTCCGCCAGGGACGATAGCGCTACTCAGCTGCACTGGCGTTTGAGAAAAGTCCTATTCAAAGAGTGCTTCGAGGGTCTCGGCAGGCGGTGGACATGCATAGAGGTGCGCCCTCCAGGGCCCTAATGTATAGGATCCACCGTCCGCCGAGGCCCCCGAAGCTCGACTCGCCAGGCGGTGGTCATGGACCAATCCACACCTCGGATATCGCGCCCCCCCCCTGCACCCCACCGCCCTGTCCACCCCCGCTACGGGCCATCCTCTGGGCAGGGTCGGCCGCTTCGGCGCACACCGGCGCGCATGTTCGCACGCTGCCATCTCCGTGCGCATGCTCGCACGCTGCCGGCCCCGTTGCCCCTCTTGCCAGCCCCGCCAGTCACCCCCGCTCCCCCATAAGCACGCCCAGCATGGGCGATTACAGTGGAGGCCAGTCCACAAGACACCTTCCACACGACACCAGACCCTGAGACCCCAGGACGTCCATTGATCTTTGGTGTGGGAACGGCACGCCTTCCATAGAAAAGCCATCGAAACCCAAGGAACCCATGGCACCCTGGAGGCAAGCAGGGTGTTTCTTGGCATGGGCCTCCACTGTACTGGCAATGGAATTGAGCGATGCCCAGCGGCAACTGCTGCCCAAGCCCGTCAGCGGCCGCTGTTGGGCGCGCGACTCGAATGCATCGAGCGGACGGCGCCCCCGGCAGCACCGACAGCGAGCCTGGCTCAAAACGGGCAAGAACTGCTGCTGGCCTTCGCCCCAACGTCTGCCCGTCCGCATGTGGAGAACCTCCCAGGTAGGGTCTCTATCGATGGGGGAGGGGAAGCTGTTCGCGTGGAGCCGAACCGCCATCTGGTGCTATCACGTCTCAGTCGGCACGCTGAAAAGACTCGCTCTGCCACTCAAAAGTGCCCCGCCCCCACACACACGACAACAACAACAACAACAACAACAACAACAACCACCACCACCACCACCACCACCACAACAACAACAACAACAACACCAACAACAACAACGACAACAACAACAACAACAGCAACAGCAGCAGCAGCAGCAGCAGCAACAACAACGACAACGACAACCACAACAACAACAACACCAACAACAACAACAACACCACCAACAACAACAACCACAACAACAGCAGCAACAACAACACCAACAACAACAGCAGCATCAGCATCAGCAGCAACAGCAACAACAACAACAACAACAACAACTACAACTACAACTACAACAACAACAACAACAAAAACAACAACCACAACCACAACCACAACCACAACCACAACCACAACCACAACAACAACGACAACAACAACAAACCCAACAACAACAACAACACAACCAACAGCAACAGCAACAACAACAACACAGTACCAACAACCACAACAACGGCAGCAGCAGCAACAGCAACAGCAACAAACATGCTAATCTTGTTTGCTATTATCTGCTCGAGTGTCACTCAACGCACATTCCCAAACCCTCGATACCCGCCCTCTTCGTCTTCGATCGTGCCCCTTTTCGGGGTATTTCTTTCTTCCCTGCAGGCCGGGCCCCGGTAAGCGGCGGGGCGGCCGCGGACCGTCGGCCTGGCCAGCGGCAGCGCTGATCGGCGGCAACCCGACTCCAAGAGGGATGGACAGGGGACCGACCACGACAACGACGACGACGACGACGACGGCGACGACGACGAGCGAAAGCGAGAGCGAGATCGAGAGCGACAGCGGGGCCACGAAGGGCAGGAAGGTGCCACGAAGGGCGACAGCGGGGCCACGAAGGGCATGCGTATGGGGCCGCGAAGGGCGCAAACGAGCGGGGGCCACGAAGGGCAGACAATGCGGGGCCACAGAGGGCAACGACGGGGCCATTGAGGGTAGCAACTAGACCACATAGTACAGCGAGGGGGCCACACAGGGCGACAGCGGGGCCACGAAGAGAATTCATATGGGGCCACGACGGGCGCGAACGAGCGGGGACCACGAAGGGCATACGTATATTGGGCCGCAGAGGGCAAGGACGGGGCCAATGAGGGCAGCAACGGGGCCATGAAGGGCAGCGAGGGGGCCACGAAGGGCGACAGCGGGGCCACGAAGCGCATGCAGATGGGCCACGACGGGCGCGAACGAGCGGGGGCCACGAAGGGCATACATTTACGGGGCCACGAAATCTAAGAGTAGGCCACGAAGAGCTGCAACGGGGTCACGAAGGGCAGCGAAGGGGCAACGAAGGGCTGCAACGGGGCCTCGGAGGAAAGCGGGGGGGCCACGAAGGGCGACAGCGGGGCCACGAAGGTCAGCGAGGGGGCCACGAAGGGCTATAACAGGTCCACGATTGCAGCGAGGGGGCCACGAAGGGCTGCAACGGGGCCACGAAGGGCAGCGAGGGGGCCACGACAGGCTGTAACGGGGCCAGGATGGGCAGCGGGGGGCCACGGAGGTCTGCAACGGGGCCAGGAGGGGCAGCGACGGGGCCACGACAGGCTGCCAAGGGGCCAGGATGGGCAGCGAGGGGGCCACGAAGGTCTGCAACGGGGCCACGGGGGGCAGAGAAGGGGCCACGACAGGCTGCAACGGGGCCAGGATGGGCAGCGAGGGGGCCACGAAGGGTTGCAACGGGTCCATGAAGGGCAGCGAGGGGGCCACGAAGGGCTGCAACGGGGCCACGAAGGGCAGCGAGGGGGCCACGAAGGGCTGCAACGGGGCCACGAAGGGCAGCGAGGGGGCCATGAAGGGCTGCATCGGGGCCACGAAGGGCAGCGAGGGGGCCACGAAGGGCTGTAACAGGTCCACGAAGGGCAGCGAGGGGGCCACGAAGGGCTGCTTCGGGGCCACGAAGGGCAGCGAGATCCCGACTCCGAAATAAACTGTGAGGGAGTCCTAGGCGTGAGCGCGACTCTTGGGTGCCTGAGTGTCGGGAGCGCGGCGCTTGATTTTGCGGGGAATTCCAACGCAAGGGCGCAATTCTGGAGTAAATTGAAAGCCTATCTCCAGCGAGAGCGCGACTCCAGAGCGCTGAGAGAGCGATTCCTGAATACATTGTCAGGAAGTCCCGAGCGAGAGCGCGATTCCTGCGTAAAATGCGAGGGCGCCTCAGGCGGGAGCGGGGGTCCTGGCTAAGTTGTGAGGAAGTCTCAGGCGGGCGCTGCTGTTGTTGTTGTCATCTGGGGGCTAACAACCCAGTTTGAGCCGAGCGACGTTCCCTGATAAGAAACAGGAAGCGAGCCCCGGGGAAGCATTTCACTAGAGACACATGATGTTCACTATAGTATGTCCAGCAATAATTGTCTTCAGTAATGAGAGCTCAACAACATCAACAACCACATCAACCGCAACGACAATACCAATAACAACAACATCAACAACAATCCCAACAACGACCACAGCCACAACAACATTATCATCAACATCACCATCACCATCACCAACAACAACACCACCACCACCAACAACAACAACAACAACAATAACAGCAATGACATCACGAAGAAAGCCTGATGCTCATGTGGACGCGGCTTGATGAAGAGCCGGATGTTCTCCACATCCACGGCACCGATGCATCGGCGACGTCGCCCATGCATCGGCGATGCGGCGCGACCCTCCGAACTACGAAAACCCCTGCGAGGCCAGGGCCAACCAGACCCCCCCAAATGTCGTGATGTTGTTCAAACGCAGTCGACCCCCAGAGCCCCGTGCCCTTCCATGGGGCAGGCTGCTGGTCCTGGGTCCTCTGTGCACGGTTCCGGGGGACTGGCAATGGCCCCCGGACCCTGAGATCCGACGGCACGAACAAATGCAACGTCGAAGCTACGATGCTGCAATTGCTGAGTGAGTGTCTTAAGAAAGCTGAACCGAAGCCCCAGACCCCACCTTCCCGCTGAACTTTGCGCAGCCGGATCGATCCGCGAGGGCTCTGGGGCCCGAAGCAGAGCAACGAAAATCGCCCGACGTGAATAGACTGCGACACCGGGAAGTCAGGGAAGGCCACAAAAATGGCCGAAAACCCTGCGGCGCATCTTCTGCGCGACCCGAGGGGGTCTGGGCCAGTGCGGCCGCACCGGGCGCCGTCCTTCCGCAGGCTCGGCCGCCTCGGCTGGCGGGGCCGCGGCGGCCGCCGCGGGCGCGGAGGCTGGCCGAGCCTCCGCCGCCGCCGCGGGCGCGCCCTGGCGGCGCTGCGGGGGGGTTCGGCGCGGCACTCCCAACGAACAGCATCGAGCAACAGTTGTATGTCTCCAACAGAAGGATGCAGCGAGGACCGGGTAAAAGCTGGCGAACACGGACATCAAACTACAGTCAACCCGTATTAGAAGGATGCGCGAGAAGGATGCAAGGGCCTTGGACGCCCACTTCGAAGCTTTTCGGGCGGGGCGCGGCCAACGAAAGTGGCCAAGGCTGAACCGAGGAGGCAAGGATGCAAGGGTACCCTTGGGAAGGCTGCCCATCCTTACTATGATGGTTTAATGTAAGCTGGGGACGGGACAACATCGGATCGGGATACATGGAAGATCTCTGATCTCTAGCTGCGCTGGAGGATGTATCGGGCGCCCTGGCCGTGCCAGAGCGCTCCAGAACGCCCTGACAGCGTTCCAGAACGCTCTGGAAGGATCTAACACGATCCTTAGCCTGACCGAGCCACCCTGGCCGCCTACGGCCCTGGTTCGGCTCGAAGCTGGACATGAGAAGAAGAAGAAGAAGACACATAATAATAATACGAATAATCATCAAAACGAGACGTCATGAGCATATCAAGTTTGGGAGGTCCGTGGGAATTTCAGGTCTTCGGCGCCGCGCCCACCTGCAGGGCGGCGCGTACCTCTGAAAGCTGATGTCTAGGATCTTCTCCAAAGGCAACATACGCAACCACCGCCTGGGCGCCCCAGGACATTGGTTTCCAGGAGGGCCCTGGGACATCGGACACCGATGCTCCTCCACTGGATATGATGGGCCAGGGGGAGGGCAATATAGGGCGTCCATACTTGTCATCGGAGTAAGGAATTGGGCCTGTCTGTCGGTCTGGCGGCTGCGCTGCCGCCACCGTCGCCCCGTCGCCTTCACGTCGCCGCCCGTCGTCTGGGCCTGTCTGTCGATCTGGCGGCTATGTTGCCGCCGTCGCCGCCCCGCCGCCACCTCGTCGCCGCCCGTCGCCGGGGCCTGTGTGTCAGTCTGGCGGCTATATTGCCGCCGTCGCAGCCCCGTCGCCATCTCGTCGCCGCCCGTCGCTTGGGCCTCTCTGTCGGTCGTCTGGCGACTATGCTGCCGCCGTCGCCGCCCCGTCGCCGCAGTAGATTGCACCAAATAGATTGCGCCGTATACATACATGTAATTGTATGCAGATGTATGTGGGTAGTAACGCGTACATGTGTAGACGTATATGTGTATGTACGCATGCATGCATGTATGTATGTTTGTATGTAGGTATGTGCGTATGTAGACTTATATGGTTCGTATATACATACATACATCTATATCTGCATATGTAATGCACTACAAGACGGCACCGCATAGATTTCATCGCACTGATTGCTCCACATAGACTGCACCACATATACTCTTGTTTCTTGAAGGCAAATTTGAATGTATCCCCCCCCTCAGCCCCGCCTAGCTGATCGACCCCCCGGAGGATGACTAATTTACATACGATCCTGCCCCATCGTTCGTTCTAAATATGCACTCGTGCCATGCCAGCTGAACCAAGTCTGCCCCCCCACCACCACCATCCTGATCTAAAAATGCAATGCGCCCACACCCGTTTATCACAAACCATCAGTATGCAATCACACCTTGCGACACACAGGACGACATGCACGCGCGCACACACCGAGCGTCCCGAACACATCTACAACCACATGGTCTTGCAACACTGCTTTTCAAAAAAATGGAGCGCATTTTTACGAATTATTGAGAAAGTCATCCACGTCTGTACAGTTACATCCAATTCGACCAAACAAGCCTTTCGCGCACGAACGTGGAGATCATTCGACCGCCCTTGCGCACGCGCTGGTGGAGGGGGGGGGCGGGGGCGCGGCCTCTGTCAAGTAACACCATGCGGGCCGCTCGCACCCGTCGGCCGCGCGCGCATGTCGGAATCCCTCCAAAACCTTCATCGCCGACGCCGGGACGTCATCGTCGTCATTGGCGTGATCATCATCGGCGCTCTCATTGGCTTTACTATCGTTATCGGCATCCTCGTCACCTGCCGCTACAGTCGGACCCAAGACCAAAGAACATCCCTCAAAAGCATAAGACCCTCCGCCGGCCAAAACACACCGAAAATCAGTGGTAACCCTCCCCAGGATCTACACGAGCATCCAACAAACACGAACAACACGAGGATACCTTTCCCGAGACGAACTCGATATTTTACCTCGGTCCGACTGTAATCTCATCATCGCGTCTGCCGTTGTCGATGTCGCCTCGATTCCGCGCCACCCCGCCTTACCGACTCGCGGTGAAGCTCCCGCGCGTCAGCGCGGTCTGCGAGACGCGCTGGAAAATGCCCAGCGGCCAGCGCCACCGCGGCCTCGTTCATCAGAAAGTATCCGTGTCCGAAAACCCATCGCAACCAAACAACTAACTGCATACGCGCGCGCCGTCGCGCGCGCATTCCAAAATCCTTAAACAACTCTTGGTTTCTAGAACAATTCAGAATCGAAAACTCCGACACATACTTAAAACGGTGGCCTCGCAACGCCAAGTGTGCGGGGTCCCAATATATACACCACCACCAGGCGGCCATAGGAGAAGCAAACATCCTGCGCGCGACCGCCCTGACAGGGGGGCTATTTCCTGCCCGCGCCAAGCGCAAGTACTTGCCACGTGGTCCTGCGCGCAGATGGCGGCCGCATTCAATCGCGAATAATTGCTACCTAGCACCCTATGACAGCACGGTGGTGGTATCCGCCGTCCCCCGTCGACTCATCGCAAGGGTGCCTGGCGTGCTAGATGATTTCGGTTTTGGTGTTGGTTCTTTTCTAAAAGAACTCCCCCTGGGGCTCCAGCGCGTCCCGCCGGGGTCCCGGGAAGGATCTCAAAACGCATCCGTCGATGCCTTTGTTGCCCCAAGTTGGCCCAAGATGGCCTCCAAGACGGCCAAGATGGCCCAGGATGGCCTCCAAGTTCGCCCAAGATGGTCCCAGGTGGCCTCCAAGACGGCCCAAGAGGGTCCAAGATGCCTTCTAAATCGTCAATGAAGCTTCAAAACGGGCCAAGATGGCTCCAAGATGGCCTCAAGATGGCCCAAGAAGGTGCCAAGAGGTCCCCCAGGAGAGCCCGAAGAGGCCAAAATCATTGATTTGCCATTGGTTTTGAAAACCATTTTGACACATGCTTATTTTAAACCTTCCCGCTGTCCAAGACGGCCCAACAGGCCCCCAAGCTCGCCCCCAGAGCACCCACGAGGCCTCCAAGATGGCCCCATGACGGCCCAAGAGGACCCCAAGACGGCCCCAAGAGGGCCCCAAGACGGGCCAAGAGGCCTCCAGGACGCCTAAGATGTCCTTCAAGACGGCCACGAAGCGCCCCAGGAGGGCCCCAAGCCCGTTCAGAGAGGCCCCCAAGACGGCTCCCGACGGCATCAGACGGGCCAGGAACCCACCCACATTGCCGAAGTTGGCTCGAAGCTGCCCCCAGATGGCCCAAGAGGCCTCCAAGAGGGCCTCCAGGAAGGCCAGACAAGATAAAACAACACGTATGTTCCTGCGGTTGTTGAAGGATTTTGGCATTTGCTTCTTTTCGGCCTTCCGACGGCCCGAGACGACCCAAGAGCCCCCCAAGATCGCCCAAAGATCGCCCAAGAGGCCTCCAATATGGCCCCAGAACGGACCAAAAGGCCCCCAAGACGGCCTCAAGAGGCCCCCTAAGACGGCCCAGGAGGCCTTTAAGACGCCAAAGATGGTCTCCAAGACGGCCCTGGAGCATTCCAAGAGGGCCCCAATTCGGCCCAGAGAGGCCCCCCGAACGGCTTCCGACGGCGTCAGACGGGCCAGGAGCCCACCAAGACGGCCGAAGATGGCCCTAAGATGGCCCAAGAGCCCTCCAAGAGGGCCTCCAGGAAGGCCCGAAAAGGCTAAAATCATTGATGTCCCATGAGTTTTTGAAGGATTGTGGCATTTGCTTTTTTTCGGCCTTCCGACGACCCGAGACGGCCCAAGTGCCCCTAAAGATCGCCCAAGAGGCCCAAGACGGCCCCAAGAGGCCCCCAAGACGGCCCAAGAGGCCTCCAAGACTGTCAAGATGGCCTCCAAGACGGCCCAAGAGCCCTCCAAGACGTCTTCCAAGAAGGCCCGAAAGGGTCAAAATGGTCTCCAGTCGGCCAAGATGACCTTTAAGATGCCCACGTGTTCCCCGAAGGCATTCCAAACCGATTCGGGGAACACATGGTCAGATAGCTTGGCAGGTCTGGCCTCAACGTTCGGCCACATAGGCGCTTCCTAAAAGGCAGGGAGCGGCGGTGATTCGCCGTAGGCGTCTTCGATAAAAACGATGGGCACCCTAGGAATTTTACACACCACCCCGAAAGATACACCACGTGAATGTGTTCTTTCTGGCGCATGCAACCGCGTGCCCAAATGACGCTGCACACGCGACATGCCATTATCGCGGGAATTGACGCACCCTGCAACCCACCGCTGAAACAATAATCCGATCAACCCCCGTGACAAAAAAACAGCCCGCGGTGGTGATGTATATGCGTGAGCCTCAGAAATTTTCAAAAAACTATCGCGTCGAAGGACCCAACCATCAGCAATTGTAAGCACGGCGCTGTGGGTACCACTTCCGGTGAAACCCTCCATGGGGCCACGAACCGTGTGAGGGGTGTGCCGACATGGGCGCCGGGCGCATGCGAACTTTGGTGGAGCCACCTATGGGGAACCGCGCGAGGGATGTGCCACAATGGACGTCGGGCGCATGCGAACCCTGCCAATGGGGCCTTCGGTGGAGCCCCCTTTGGGACCACGAGCCGTGTGAAGGGTGTGCCGAAATAGGTGTCGGGCGCATGCGAACGCTGCCACTGGGGCTTTCGGTGGAGCCCCTCTGTGGGGCCACGAACTGTGTGAGCGGTGTGCCAAAATGGACGTCGGGTGCATGCGAACTCTGCCACTGGGGCCTTCGGTGGAGGTGCGTATGAGGCCACGGACCA